TATTTGTCGATCATGTCAAATATGTCATATATGTCAGATTTGTCGATCATGTCAGATATGTCATATATGTCAGATTTATCAGATTTGTCGATCATCTGCATCACGTAAGTCCTATCATATTTTATTCGTTCACAATACTAACTCTGAAATAATAAAAAATTAAACTAAGTTCAACTGGACACCATTTGATAACTCTATTCAAATGAAATAGAAGATTTCAACAAAGTTTCATCATTGCCAAAAAATGAGTAGTTACTACTCACAAAGAATGTTATGGCTGCTGAAAATATATTTATTAATTAAGGTATACCAATTAGAATATTTATCATCTATTGAATGTATTAAAGGATCTATGTTATATAAGTTGGTAGTAGTGATTCTGTTATGGAGTTAAGGGGCTTTGCGTTTCTGACAGATAATGATACCTAAACTTTTTTCTTTTTGGGTAATTAAAGAATATCTTGGAAGCCAGATGCTATTTAAGATTCTATTGTGAATGTTATTGAGTAGAATAGAGAGTATGAGTAAAGATTTTTTATTGCAATGAGTTGTATTGAGTACTTGGTAAGATAATGAGTAAGAGATGAAACCTTTAATAAAATCAATAAAAGTAAAATTAGTAGAGGAGAATGAGACATCCCAATATGTAGATAGAAGAATATTGTTATAGATAATCTTGTCAAGTTTAGCAGGAGTGATTTTAGAGTATTGTTTTAAGAACGAGATAAAGGTAAATTGAGTATCAATTACAATTAGATTCATTTTTTCAATAATAGATGAACATAGTCATAGGTAATTGAAGGTCTCTGGAACTTGATTGCATAAATAACATAAAGGTAAATTTCAGTAAAGATGAAGATTTTGTATGCGTAAAATTTGTAGTGTAGGAAGTTGTTCAAGCATAAATTTGAGACGTTAAGATTTGCGATAGAAAGAAGTAAAGGTAATACTGAATGCAGATTCATCATCATAAATATGTGAAAAGGTATTAAGCCAGTCTATATTTAGTTTACGATATTTAGTGTTTCATTTTAATCGATAGAATTCCATAAATCCACGAGTGTGAGATGTTAGACAAAGAAAATGTCATAAGTGACGTTGAATTGGTGTTTGATTAATTAAAGGTAAATAATTCAAATAAGGGATGAGAGTGTCATTAAAATTAATAGAAAGTTTGTAATATGTTAATCTAACTAATTTGTCAACATTAATATTATAAGGGTCTTTAGAATGAGCTAAGACTTTATGGAAAGTGGGGGTAAGATTATTAGATGAGATAATATCAAATAAGGTTAACCATAATAGAAAATTATCTAATTTAAAAGTTCTCGTAGATATAGAAGTAAGTTATTAGAAAGAATATAATTATAAGTTAAGATAGCTGTAGAACCATCTGTGTAGATATTGATTGTTGATGAAAAAAAAGATGATAAAAATGCATAAATGATAGCAATCAGTTCGGCGCGATTGGAAGAAGGCCATGATGAAAGAAATGAAGATTGAAAGGAAATTGTAAGGTTATCTTTTAATAGCCAAGTGATGCTCATAGATTGTGAGGATGAGTGAAGAAGAAAAGAACCATCAGTATAAATTTTGAGGTTGAATTTATAGCGAAATAAGTTGTAGGTATGTAGTAATGCATCAAATTGTATATCCAGTTTTACATATTTAGAAAATAAAGAAGGTGTTGGATTATTTTAAGGAGATGAAAGTAAAGTCAGAGGTGTGATATATTTAATGATTCATAATGAAGCTTAGCTTGGTCTTTAATGAAAAATGTAGAACAATTTATATTATAGAAACCTGGATGGCTATTTTTAATTATTTTGGGGAGAGAAATAAGAGTGTCAAAATAATATCTATTTGTACATGTTAATGAAAAAGGAATATGTTTAGGAAAATAGGAAAAATTCTGTAAATAGTATGCTTCATGTAATAAATAGCCTTGATATTGAATGAATGTATTTTGCAAATTAGATGGTGAAATTGTTGATGACTGAAGAAAAATTGTTAATCCAATGTTAAATTATAACATATTGATCAAAAATAGCTATAATTTATTCATATATAATTTGTTGACAGTTATTATTCCATTTGGATGATTTATTATTGAGTTTAAATGGAGGTGAAATGATGTCATGACAAAGGAGATTATGATCTTTATAAATAAATTGTAGTTTTAATCTTCATGATATAGTAGGGTTAGAAAGGACAAAATGTTCTAATTTCTTGAACCATTTGGATATATTAGAACGAATATCATAATGTAATAACTGATAGTTAGCTAGTGAGATGAGATATTGTTCACACAGACTTATGAGTTATTCTAAATATATTACAGAAGATTTAGTTAATAGATGAATATCTCAAGAAAGGAGAAAATAAGCACATAAAGTAGTGATAGAAGTAATTCCACCAAGATGAAGGTGTGGGGCTACATTGAATAAAATATTAAATTCATTAATAATAGAAAGAATATTTGATATGTGATCATAAAAGCATATGGTAGTAGTGAAAGGCCAGAAAAGAAGAGGAGAGTCAAAGAGCCATTGATAGGTTTAAATTTCTTTGAGTCTGATATTTATAGTTAGATTCATGATGGTATTATCATTTAGTTAGACTGAAAAGTTGATAGTCATAGATTGGAGCTGATTTTCATAAAGATTGCGAAATTTGTAAAGGAATTTATTGAATAAAATAGAATTGGATGTGTTTGAAGAAAGATGGAGTTTGTGTTTAAATAATAGATTAAAGGGGTTAGAAAGGTTAGCACTTTTCTTTTTTGTTAGAAAGTTCAATTGTTCTCTGTATTCAATGTGAAAACGATAACTATGTTAAAAATATATAACAATATTTTGTCTGTTATATTTTATGATAGAACAGTCAGTAGTTATTTCTGTTCTGATTTGATTGAATACAAAAGATCTTTTGCATTTTAAATTAAGTCAAACACCTAAAAATCTAATAGATTCAGATTCAGGAGTAAGAAGAATCAGGATATTTTTATTGTTGTATTGAAGAAGTATATTTTGAGAAGTAGGAGAATCTGGATCAGAAGATGTAGAATATTGAATACAAGATGGGTTAGCTGTGATTATTAAGATTCCTTTGTCATCATTTAGAAGTATGTTGTTCAAATTATTAAAACTATCAGTTATTTTTAGAAGAGAATTTAAATTATCTTGAGAGTTTGAGATTAATGTAGTGTCGTCTATATATGCTATGCTTGAAATTTCTAAAGATTGCGTGATAATATCAGGGAAGCAGAGGTCAGGATGCTAACTATAGAATATTGTGTAACTTAAACCATATTGAGATTGTAGTTCACATATTAAGAGATCGTAGTAGAGACACCATAAAAGTGGAGAGATAATTTCACCTTAGTCAATACCAATCAATACATTATAATTATCTGTAGAACCATAGTGAATAAAAATATGATTCTTACAGTTTAGAAACAAGTTGAGAATAAAGGTACAAAAAGAATGGAAAGTTGTAAATGAAGCATGGCTTTAGATAGCATATGAACATTAACACAATCATAGGCTTTGAACATATAGGAATATTTCTAGTAAAATTAAATCATAAGGCATAGTAAATCATATGATCTGTAATGTGATTTTACTGGAAACACTCCTATATCTTGAAAATAGAGCTAAAGTTCTTTATTTTTTTCTCTAGCATTATGAATGATATTATCTAAAATACGAATAGGTTCAAAAGTGGATAAATGTAGAAGACCAGCAAAGTTGTTACCTTTGAGAATTGAGTGATTGATGAAGATATATAAAAGTTTATAGTTAATGGCTTTAACAGGAGTTTTATAAACAGTATCTAAAAGTGTGATAGGTCAGGTATTTTTGAGTTCACATTTCCAATTTTTAGATTTAAGTATCAGATAAATATCAGCTTCTCATCAGACTGAAAGTATGTTATTTAATCATAAACAAGCATTGACAAAGTGCCAGAGAGCTATATGCATTTTGTTGCCTATGTGTTTAAGCATTTCATTTGAAATTCCAGATGGATCAGATGCTTTACTATCAGGAAGATTGTGTAATATATTAATCCATTCTTCTTTAGAAAGAGGATCCATTAGAGTATCATAAATAGAAGAATTAATGTTTTTTTAGGAGTATATTGATGTTACTAATATTCTGGAATCTCTTTAGGTTTATGAAAACTATTAAGTACTGCTAGATTTTGAAAGTGATTAATAGTGGCTGATTTGACTGTATCCAGTTCAGTCAGAAGTTTAGTAAATGAATCAGAAAGGGTAATAAGAACACAATCTAAGATAATTTTTCTTTTTTAACGATCTAAAGCTGAGTCGATAACTAAACTTTGATTAGATTGATAATTTAGGCAACGTTGACGAATATATTTAATCATTTGTTCTTTTAAGTATTTTTTTCTACTAAGGAAGCTTTGTGATGAGTAATTTGATGAGAAATTTAATAGAACGTTTGATGAGTATATAGTTGTCATGTCAAATAAGATATGGTAAGTTTGCGAAATAATTATAACTATATATAAAGTCGAAATAGATCATTTTGAATATCTGAAATGGTCAAAATGGTCAAAATAATTTTGACCATTGGAGGCTAAAGTTACGAAATAGTCAAAATGACATCATATCATATGATTTTTCATATTTAGAAAAACAAAAACAAAAGATGTACGATCTCAGTCAATATCGCTCCGATTTGTATAAAATAACTAACATTCGATTTCATAAAACTAGGCTGATCCAATGTGTTAACATTCATTGATTTCAGATTATCTAATTACGAGATACTCGCAATTGTATTATCGGTCGAAATTATAAATCAATAAATTCTACTTTAAATAAAGGAATTCAGATTTCGAAATACGATCGCAAATATCTCGAGATGGGATCATCTAAAATCAATAAATGTTAGCTCATTGGATTCGTCTAATCATGAGAAATTGAATTGTTTTTTTTTGTTTTTTAACGATGCAGTACTGCCATTAAATTTATTGATTTTATATTATATACTAAATAAAATTTACAAAGAAAAAATACAAAGTAGATAAAAAACTAACCTAATGACTATCTCACGTAGTCCTATTGCTAATAAAAGCTCAAACCCATTTAGATCGACTGATCACTGGAATCCCTCTCTGACCCAACCAAAAAATCCATATCTAATGATTAAGCTGTCAACAAGAAATTCAAATAAGGTTGTCAATACAGCAACATAATTTCTAAATGCCTTTCGATCCTAACTTCTTAATAAAATTTAAAAACTAACAACCCTCCTAAGAAGGGAAATAGATACAAATAAAATTATTAAAAAAGACAAACACAACACTATAAAAACTTAAATATTCAGTTAATTCTGGATATAACGACCACTCAACTAAAGAAGATGCGTCTAAAGAAAGATCCAAACAGAGGCTCTTCATACTTATAGATTCATAAGTACAGAAAAAATATCACATAAAATCTACTATGAAAATCTTACAATAAATCAACAGATAGTAACCTATACCTCTACCTGATTATCAGGAAGAAATGGATTTAGACGAAGCGGACTTACACTGAGTAAGTAAATGGCAATAACCACCTGGAGCTCCATTTAAAACTACGGTAAACCGACAAGATACAAAACTAACCACCATATAGAAGACCTCATGAAGAAACAAGTAATAATTTACACTAGATTTGCACGTGATCTTTGACGACAGAGGATCTGCAAAAAGGCAGAGGCTAATCAAAAGAGAGTATATTGTTTAGGAAGGGGAAAGGTATCATCACGTAAGATTTGTTTATCCAAAGTATGTCAATCATGATTATTAGTTGAAATACTCCCCCCCTTGATGCCCACTTTTTAGTAGATAAAAAATGAAAAAGAGAAAAACGAAAAAAAATTTTCGAAAAGAGGTGAAGAAAAAATATTTTAACAAAAAATAACACTGTTTAGATTATTTCGAAAAATTTTATATGAATAGGGGTGTAGGGAACAAAGAGAGGAATATTTTTGAAAGGTTGGTTTTTTTATTTGTTCACAAGCTAAGCCACAGCTGCCGTTGAACAGGTACTTTTTTTAAGTAAAAATTCTTGGAAAAAATCCAACGAGAAAGAGTGTATGGAAAATCGAATTGAGAAATCAAATGGTAGTTGTTTCACACGAATCGAAGCGATATTGACTAAGATCATACATTTTTTTTTTGTTTTTTCTATATATAAAAAATCATGTGATATGACATAATTTCGACTATTTCAACTTTTCATTTTGATTTTAACCTCCAAAGTCGAAATATTTTGACTTTTGGGTTTTCATTTCAACTTCATGTATAATTATAACATTTGGCAATAGAGGTGAGTGTGTTGCGATAGTGGTGCTAATCTTCATTAGTGATAAAGGTATTATTACGAATACATTTGTAATTAAAAATTCTGAAAATTTTGTTCAAGCATTTAATATCTAGATAGATTTTATATATGTGAAAGGTTTTGTGTTCTGAAATGCTTTTATGATGAGGGATAAATAACGTAGCAGAAGATTTAATGTGTTGTTGAATAAGACTCCAATAATAATTTAAATCATGTAAATTATTGATAGAAGAAGAATTAATTTTGTTGAGATTGGAGGAAATGCTATGATTATTGGTTGTTTTTTCAAATTTAGTCCAGTTATCTGTAAAGGTTTTATTATAATCAAATATTATTTTAGTAACATTTTGTTGCCTAAGTTTAGCTTTAGATTTGTGATTAAAAATATAATCAAAAAGAGTTAATTACAGTAGTTTATGATCGCTTTGATACAGATCAGTGGACTTATTATCTACGTAAACTAAAGAATTGAGAAGAGATAAATATAAAATCAATGTGACTTTAAGAGTTATGAGAAGAAAATGTAAACATGGGATTAGAAGGGGAAATATCATGACATAGATTAGTAGTATCATAAAGATTTAATTGTTTAAGAGAAGTAAGAAAGGAAAGTTTTCATTTATGTGTAGATTTTGAAGAGTATGAGGAGATTTTTCAGGAAAGACATTAAAGTTACCCATAAGAATAATGTGATAGTATTTAGAGAGGGCGTGATTAATTAAATCTAAAAATTTTTTTCAACTTGAATTCGTTCTTTTGAATGGATATCATCTGCATGTAAATAAATTTGAATTATATATAAGATTTGTTTGCCTTTGGTATGTAAATCTACACAAATAATTCTACCAAAATAACCTTCATAGTTGAAAATATATTTAGCTATCCTTTAGATTGTCTAGCAGGCAAATTTGCCTGCGAAATTAAAAAAAATTGTTAATTTCTTTATAAATATTAAATATTAATTTTAGTAATATTATTACTATATAAAAAATATAATTTAATATATATTTTATTAACTTTATTAACAAAGATTTTAAGTTTTTTAAAAGGTTTTTAAAATAATTTAATTATAAAATTAAGTTTCAAAAAATTTATTATAATAATTTTTTAAAAATATTAATTATTTATAAAAGTAAATCAGAAGAAAATTTATAGTAAAAAAGCAGGTAAATTTGCCTGCGAAACCCTACAATCTAAGGGATATTTGATTTGAAAATGAGACCGATGCCTGAACCCAAGTGTCATGTCATTGACTGTTTAAGTAAAAGAAATATTTAAAAGATCCTTTAAAAAGAGGTTCATTGTGAGAGGAAAAATATTTAGCTTCTTTAAGAGTCAAGAAAGTTTCAGAGACACCAAAAATATCAAGATTAGAAAGTTGCATATATTGTAAAAGTGAATGTTATTTAGGGAGTTGTATTAAAGAATGAACATTATGTATTACTATATTTAATTTATTAATTATTGGGGAAGTTATATTTTTGTCAGTTGTTTTAATATTATTATAATCTATTTTCATTTAATATTTGTGTGTGAGGTTAGTGTTGTTAGATAGAGGAATAAATGAAGATGAGGATAATGAATTATTTGGTTGAAGAAAGTTACTGGTGAGATCTTTGAGTTGTAATAAGATTAATGATTAAGTAGAACAGAGTTCTTCTTGTTGTTGTGTAAAAAGATTAGATTATTCCTGAAAAGAAGTGAGTTTATTACAAGCAGTAGAGAATTGTAGTTCAATTGTAGTATCAAGATCTATATTAGTTTTCAAGAGTTGGTGATAAGAGGAAATATTAGCAGATTTTGTATTTGAAGAGGTGTATTGTTTAAGTATAGAGGATTCAATAAGAGCTAGATAATCATTGTAATTACTAATTTGATTACTGAGAAGTTTAAATTTAATATTAAGTTGGAGAATGGTTTTGGCTATTTGGCTAAGATAGGTTTAGATATAATTGAATTTATTGTTATCAGAAGAAAGATTAAATGAGGGATCATGTGGTGGGTTGAAATTAGAAGAATCATTATTAGGATTATTAGAAAGAACATTTGTAAAACTTTGTTGATTAACATAAGAATTAGAAGGATATGATAGACGCGTTCTAGGAAATAGAGGTTGATATGCTTGAGGTTTGAATCTATTATATAAGGAAGAAAATTTAGGGGGTTTGGAATTTTTATGAATATCATTGCGTCTAAAATTACAATCTTTAGTAGCATGATTAGGGTTGTCACAATTAAAGCATGCTGAAGAGTCAGGATCTATCCAATAAAGAATGTGACCTTGAAACTTAAAAGTAGGGGAATATGCAAGTTGAATGATATCATCTTTATTAGAAAAATTAAAAAAAGCTACATTGATTGGATTATAATTTCTATCTCTAGGAATAACACAAGTTTTTACTTTAATTTGTGTTAGGATTGAAAGTAGGTCATGTGTAGTAGAGCCACAGGGAAAGCCAGATAATTTAAGGCAGTATTGTTGTCTATCATCTAATTGTTGATCAGATAGATTCAGTGAAGAAATACGAACGTTATCATTGATAATCATAATAGATCATGTGTCATCGTAGAATGATGCGATACTTGTAGGATCTTTAAATATAATGTATGCATGTTATCATTTTCCATTAAAGCTAAGGCCGATCCTTTTAATCATTCCAAATTTAGAAAAAACATTTGAAATAGTATACGATTTGACATTGAGCAGAGTATCAGAAACTTTGATAGTATGGTTGGCTTTAGCTTGACATTTTGCAGAAAGATCAAAATCTTTTTTTTGAAGATAGAATGCATCAAAGATAAGGTTATTAAGTGAGGTGATTGGTTCTTTTATGGCATCTTCAAGGCTATCTTTGTTGTCAAAATAGATGGAGATAATGCGTTCACGAGAATTATGAATAATAAAAGATTTAGCTCCTGCATAAGATTGATTAGATGAAAAGTGTTGATCGAGATTATCAATATTTTCCCAAGTAAATTTGTCAGGTATTGCAACAAAGGGAGAAGCAGTGGAGTAGCAAGTAAGTTTAGG